CCCCGGAACAGGTCCAAACAAAGATTCGGATGTTAGCTGGCCGGCTAGCGCAAGTAGTTTGAAACTCAGGAGAGTTGTTCGCGCGGTGGGAACCCGTGAGCCCAATCAGCGTGCGGAATTACCTCATTATCAAGGGCATTAGTGCTATCCCAGTGCTCTTCCCTCCGCACCGTATCGAACGTGTGCGATGTCGTTTCCTTCTCAATTCGTCGGTTCCCCCAGGAGCAGCTCTTTCTGACCTTTCCGTTAGAGGGTCAGACCGCTGCAGAAGGTACCTCATTCGGGACGCTGGAAACCACAGTCCATCCGTAGTCGATTCGAGATGAATTATTCCTACTAGTCAAATAAATTATTCCTCCGGGAAATTCGAAGAATTCCGCCCACCATTCACGCTCTGGAGCCTGCGCGTCACAAGAAGGCCGGCGCTATCTCCATTGGCTTGAGAAAGGATTGCTTAATGTTGCGGAAACTTGAACGATCTCAGCTGTGTTTCGACATTCTAGCAGCTCCGGCGCTGCTGATGATGACGACGCTGGCAGCCGCCGTACATGGGTACATAGACGGCTTGCTACATTCGACGACACGATACACGGTTCGAGCCTCGTCGTTGACGACGAGCTGTTCGTTTATGAATGCTTATTTAGAAGTCGCTTAGTCTTGGAGCTGGATTCGGGCGTTCCGTGTGGTCCTCAGATACGCCCCTCAAAAACTCGGTTGCACCCGTCCTGGGTGGCACCGAGCAACCTAGATGCGGTTTCATGCGTTTTCTAAGGAACTCGTACTTCGAATTCCAAAGGGGACTATGAGGGTCTCCATTTCGAACGATGTCCGACCAACGGATATTTTTCTCTCGATTTTTCGATCGATACTCCCAACCGGGGCTTCTGTTTGCCCCTTCACCTCCACGCCCCGAGCGAGAAATCTCAGGAAGAAGCGGCGTTATTCGCGTCACCTGTGAAGTTTTCCAAACTCTTTGTCTGATATCGAAGTTTCCCCTGATGATAGTGCAATTGGAACTCGATGAACTTTCTGAAAACTCTTTCTTGAACTCTGTTCGGGAATTGTGTTCAGAGATTATCGCTCCTGAATCAACAGTTTCTTCTTCTCGAGCGGGAAGAAGAGGGAGAGCTCTCGAGCAGGCTTGCAGGAACAAGGCGGCTGTTGCAACTGCAAACAACAAATTGAAGGTGCAAAAAGTTTTTCCTCCCCGATTCGTTGGGAAGCCGCAATTGCCTTTTTCCTTCCTTCGAGGGCCGAGACGAGAGAGGAAAGTGTGTGAACAATGTTAACGAAGTAAACCTCGCCGCCGGCTATCTCGCTCGTGCGTACAGGAGCTCGGCGGAGGCCTTCCGTGGCTTCCGATCCGAACGCTTGTCCCAGGTGTGAGGGATGGAGAGTTTCCTGAAGGGGAGCAATGTTTTGTGGAAAGAGTTTCGATTTTTCCGCCTGTTGTCCTACGGCATGAATGATCTTCCCGGATCAAAAAGAGATTCGGAAGTCGAACTAGCTTCGGAGTCTACTCATCCGTATTTCCCGACGTTCCCGGATCATTGGGCCCAGGGACAGTCGATTCGAGAAGGACCGTCTGCTGGGAGTTGGCCGAGCCCAGTAGTAAAAGGAACGGGCCCTCCGTGGAGGCGCACGGAAGCATCACCTGTGGGGGCGTTTCACACGTAGATTACGAGTTTTTAATCTACTCGTTCCCCAGTAGCCCAGATACGTCGTAGACAGGGTCAGGGAAGCAGTGCACGGCCGGGCAGCTGTAGCCGACACCTGCAGCTTGTCGTAACGTCAGCCAAAAAATGACTGGCTGCTTATTAAGGTAAGCTTCCGCGTCACGTAGGTAGGTAGGTCTTTCGGACGGAGGAAGGTCCGCCCGTGGGAGCTAACAGACTTCTATGTGCGGAAAAGGTGCCAGGAACACAATGATGATGCGCGAATACATCTCGCTGGAAATAATATTCTCTCTCCCTAACACACGCGGTTTTTTCCCAGCGCGTTCTAATGGTGCTCCATGCAATTCCCGCTGAGCGCGAATGGACAGGCGAAGGAGAAGGGAGAGAGGGAGAAGGTAGAGGTTTCCGGCTAGGTGTCCATCGCCATCCGGGCGCACAGGGCTTCGATGCTCCGTGGTAGGGACTCTCTTGTAGTGGTCGTCGCTGGTGTCTCAGTATTTTTTTCTGTACGGCTGACTTTCGTCTTGCGTACCATTTTCCCCGGAGAACTCCTCCTCCATCTCAGTCGGCCATCTATCTATCAAGCAAGCTACTCATCCACTCGCTGAAGAAGGGAACCCTGATGAAGCGTCACTAGCTGTTGTTACCAAGAGATTTCTTGCGCGAAACCGTCACTTTGGCGAACGACTGGGTACCAGGGAAAAACTCGAGCCTAGGAAAAGGATTGGTCGGGCGAGAGTGATGGAGGGAGAATAGGAGAAGGCGACCGGTCGAAGGCGGGGGAACGGTCCCGAGACAGGACCTCACCGAGACCGCAAGGGGCCACGTGGGCAAACGCCTTTTTTCGGCGTTCTCTCACGCAGCCTCTCTGGGGGGAACGCGTAGATTAAGCATGGAGTCCGGAGACGGCTTATATAACGTGGAAATCAGGAAAATTTCCTCCCCGAACTCGAAAATCCGGCTTTCCGCCGACTCTTTGGGTTTTTACAGCTTCGGCGTTTCGCTATCGATCCCGTTCCTCTATTTTCCATTTCGGAGCCTGGAAATTAGTACGCGAGCTCGCGAAGTTCGGAAGGCTTTCGCGAAGGCTCTCTCTGATCGAGAGCCCCTAGCGGAAAACGTTGGAGCACGCTCGAATGAATGGATGTTTAAGTAGGCGAATGACTACATTGACGCAGGGAAGCAGGAACGAGCCATTCAGAGACATCTTCAAAAGACTCGGTTGAGCGCATTCAACGGGTCGTTCTGCTTGTGTCGAGGATAAATCGTCTCTCTGAATATTTAATAGTTCTGACATAGGGACCGACGCTCGCTCTTTCGGTCGACTGGACTGGCTGGCCAGAACGAGCAGAGCAGCGGGCGAACATGAGACTTCCCCTGTAGTTCACAATAACCAACCGTGGAGAGTCAGTCGATCAGTGTCCGGAGTCGGAAAACCCCGCGCGAGAAGGTCGCCCCTGATATGCCGCATAGGGACCGTCCATGGCTTATCGAAATCGTTTGAGGAGTGAACGAGAGATATTCAGCGAAAGCCCATTTTCCGAGAGCTGACAGGAACGCTGGTATTACATCGCTCAACTATATTCTCACCCACAACGCGAGCTCGAATCTAAACACAGTTGTGTATTCGTTATGGGAGAAACAGCCCATAAGGCTACGGGATCCGCATAGGGATGTTTTATGTGAGCGGGGAGAAGCAAGATATAAATTTTGGGAAGAAGCGAATAACGCAGGTCAGAACTGAATGAGACCGATACCGGAGAGCAACGATCGGATGAGACTGACCAGTATCGCTGTGAATGAGAAACGATCATTCGGAGGAGCCCGCTCGTCGGAAACTACGAGAGACCTGTTTCCTCGTGGAGAACAGGCCTCTGAGCTTCGGGAGACTGATGCTCATAGAGACTGAGTAAAGGGCTCGTCATTCTGGTAATGGGTTGAGGTGATCGTGTTGCTTCAGGCGTTCGTAGTCGTAGAATCGTCGGCCAGGAAAAGCCATTGAAGCGTTCGTCGTAGAACGGTCACCGCGGCCACGTGTATGCGGCCCATGCACCTGGGCTGCTGCTCGCTCGACATCAGAGATTCGGTTTTCGCGAATTCTACAAAAGTCGGGTTTTGAGGCTTTGAGGCTCTCGACCGATTGCCCCGTTATAGAGAATCCCAACCACGAATAAGCCGTGAGCGTTTCCTAAGTGCTCTTCTCCGCTCACTGACTGAGTGAGTGAGTGAGTGATAGACTGACTCACTGACTGACTGACTTACTGGGAGGGTAGATATGCGGTGGACCATCTCTCACATCATCGAGGTCTGAAACTATTCGTCAGAGGCGTAAATTGGAGCTCGTGGCTGCCATGGCTTGCGCGGGTTAGAGCGGAGTCATTTGTGGCCGATTCCATTGCACAGCTCTCGCGAACGGATCAGGAGTATCTGTAGTCATTCGAATCGACAATGTATTGCGTCAGATGCCCATGGAGCTCGGAAAAATCGCGATTCGAGTATTTGCGTGTCTTCGCTCGCAAAAGTACAAGGATGGACATGAAGGAAGCGTGCGGCATTTCATCTTTCTAATCGACCTGCTCATCGACCACGGGACGAGCCAGGCCCGAGCAACAGAAGGCACGCCAATTTCGTATACGACTACCCGTGAAGGTCTTGATTTCTCCGCTGGGGCCCGACGAGGACCCGATAGTCCGAAATTCGATAAGAATTCTACCTGAGCCGAGGTGGATCGATTCCTCGCTGCTTGCACGGAGTTCCCTTCCGGATCGAACGAAATCATGTCCCGAAAAAAAGAATCCGCGTGTACAGGTATTCCAGACAACGCAACGGGAAAAAATCACGGTCAAGCGCGTCGAATGATTTCTAGAGCTCAGTGCTCGACTCGAGACGGTCAGCCGGAGGGCCGTAGTGCTTCGCCGAGCCACCGATGCAGGAGGAAATGTTTTTTTTAGCCGATTCGGCTCAAATCGGACGATTAGAATTGATGGATCGACGCCTCCGCTAAACACTGCGGACTGGCACCGGTTGACACGTTTCCGCCGAAACGCAATGAATTGATTCCGAATCATAGTCCGGGGGAATGGGCGAGTCGGACGGAACGTCGGGCGGCTGCCCCGTCCGTTCTCTCCGCCGAACCCCAAACCCCTTAGACGGCCCTCGCCACAGAACCCTCTCCGTGCAGACCCAGCATAACAACTCAACATTCTCTCTACAGGCGCGGCGCGGCGAGACGGCTTGTACCTATCTGGCTCTCAACTCAAACAACTCTGGCTGTTAGCGTGAAAACAAACGGTGTGTGATGGAGAAAATTTTGACATTTCAAAAATGATCCGACGACTAATTCTCGTGGGCGCCGCGGCGTCGCTGGCCATATCGCAGAAGATCCCAACGGACGCCGAGGCCGCGAAGAAACTGTTACAAGTGTTCGGATTGAAAGAGCCCAAACTCCATGGGCACCTACTGCCTCCGCAGTACATGCTCGAACTGTACAATCACACAGCAACTCAGGAAGGCTTTATGAAAACAGCGAATCCCTACAATGCAAACCTCATTCGGAGTTTCGTCGACAAAGGTGAGCAGTCACTGCGTCCATGTATATTTTCAGCATGATAATGCGATCGAAAGCGGGCTGAATTAAAAGAGTTCTGAAACTTGACGATTTCTTGTGAACTCCACTCTCCGATGCTATCGAGCACCGAGGTCGAGGCACCAGGGTGCCGAGCTGTTCGCAGTTCTTCGATATGAACTATCCTTAACGAAACCTCGGTTCGGAATCGCGGACTTCGAGCTCGGGTTCAATAGGTTATTCGAGATGAATTTTTTTGGTCCCGAGTTCTTCCCCGTGGATACCAGGGGAAGACGTAGGCACGTAACGCTTTGTCGGTCATGATATCCGATACGCCCGCTCGCGAACCGCCGGAAACGTCGACCTTGATTATGAAAATGATCGCACATGACGACTCTGGGTCCACGTACGTATATCTCGCAATCCGCCCGGATGCCCGTATGAATGTCGCTTGCGACGACGTCTGATTTTCTCCCGCGTCTATGGAGCGGGATCCGAGCGAGATTGTTGTTTCACCTCCACGATTTGTGCTCTCGGACGGTGCATACTGGCCGGGGATTCTAGGTTTACGTCTACGAGGCACGAGAGCAGGTGTTGCCGGCAGTTGCATCTATGGATTTCCTCGACGGAAACGATTTCGTCTCGGCCCACAGAGTAGCACTTTGCATATTCCGCCCTTCCTTCACGCCTCTTATCTTCGCCACCGGTATTGGTGTGGCTGCTTGTTTCTGTTTACCAGTGTATCCAATGATTGTTTGGGTTGCAACGAAGCCCCCTGGAAAGGTTTGATGCTTCTGTTGTCATCGTTACCATCGTTTCCGTTGTCGTTCCCGCCCCGCCCCCTTCCCCGCTTCCTCGACCGAAGGCCGGACGAAGTGAGCGGGAACACAGCCGGTCCCTGGAAGCATTCTCCCGTTGTATGTAAAAGGGGCAGCGGCAGCTGCGGACGCACCGGTCGTCTGACTTCAGCGTTCATTTGCTGAATTTGCTCTTTGTTCGTTCGTTCCTCCTTTCGTCCCGCTCGGACCGAGTTCGAAACTCGGAGCGAGTCGTAGCCGTGGTTCCGCGCCTGGAATTGTACATAGCTCCCGTGTCGGCAACTCTGGCAGTGTCTCGCTTCAGGCAAAGTCTCTCCCGGAAGAATTTGCTCTAACGTTAATGAGTGCAAAGAGCCGCTGCATTGTTTGTTGTTGCCCGCGGGCGTCCCGTCGTCGTCGTCGTCACATACCTGGCCTGGATTCGCCTTGCTTTGTCAGTCTCGTCGTCGCTTGTTTCATTCCTCGGTCTATTCCCGGCTTCCGGAAAAGCGTTTCCTGGGACCTTTTCCAGTCTCAGAGCGGCTCTTTCCGCCCGACCGACATCTTCCTTCGCGTGCAGGTCTTTCGCGAAGCCAGTCACGGCAGGTTCTGCTGAGAGTTCAACTTCCAACACGAAGAATCCGACTGGGAGCCCCGGTCTGATTACCTGAACCTTCCGCTAGATCGGGAGGAATAAGGTCGAGCTTTTCTTTCTACGTGCTGCTGCTATGGGGATAGGAGCTCTCGATGTTTGCGAATATCTCCCGAACACCCAGAAATCTCATGGAGGCACACAGGCCCAGCAGCGTGCCGAGGCGGCAACTGCCGGTTCAGATAACGAAGGCGAAGCTCCCGCCGTCGAGGTGTTGTCAGTGACAGCGAGCGATTGGCGAAGCGAAGGGAGGAAAATCTCAGGTACTCACGGAAGTCGAGCAAACGAAGCCCGTCAGCAAACCTGCTGTCGGCAGGCGTCCGTAATGAGGTCGAAGCAAGGGATGCGCAACAATCAAACGTGCTCAACTTCTTCCTTTTAAGGATTTTCCCTCGCTGCGCGAACTTTTGGAGGAAGCTCGATCGCTCACTGGGTCTGAACTCCGAGCTCCGAGGGGAACTATGCGCCGAGCGGCCTGTCCCGTGTCCGTCGAGCAGCTGCGTATTCGCGGAAATGGGGACAGATGGGAATGCGGACTTAGGGTCGGGAGGATCCCGGACGGCCGCGGAAACTGCAGCGAATTCCCGCGGGTCGCTGATAATGGCTGAGGCCACTCTGAGTTCAAATGTCGACAGGACCCCCGCTTCCACCCAATTGAGTCGTCCGTCGGCGGTGGCGGCAATCTCTGCCGTCGTCGCCCCCGCCGTCACTACTCACAATGGTTCTCTTCCGCCGTCAATCTCCTCTTACAAACTCACTGACCTTCAGCATTGTCTGCCGCTGCGGTTGGGAAAAGACGAGGGAAATGGGACGGCTGGCTGGCTAGCTAGCTAGCTAGCTGGGTCGGTGTTCGAAAGAGGGGGCCGAAATCGTGGGACGGCCGGAGCGTCGGTCGTTCAGCTGCCTCATACTGGAGCGGAGCTCGAGGAACAGCAAAGACATCCTTTCACAGCACGGTAATCCTGTTACCGCCCCTGTAAGTAATCAAGTGGGTTGAATAGAGATGTCATCCGCAATGTTGTCGTTGGCTCGTCCACCTTCTCCTCGCTGTCGTCATCCCCCTCATTTTCCTCCACCGTCGTTGGTTCGCTCCATCGGATGGAATCGTTTCCCAAATAGAACCCCGCGAAGAGTCCGAGATCAGCCATCTCTTATCAGCCAACTCTTCGTCTGAAATACGGAAAGGGGATTCGATCGGTCAGCGACCGAGCATCTGGCCAGGAAATATAAATAACGACCGTGAGCTAGAAAGTCCTAGGCGGGGATGGCGGCTCAATATTCCTGCGAGCGGACGATTTTCGGCTGTGCTCATGGGGCACAACATTATTGTTTTTATATGCCGTCCGAGCCGGGCGCCATTAAAGAGCTCGTCGGTCAAGCCTGTCGTCGAACAATTCCTCTAATCTCGCTCCTTCCTCCGACGGCTCCTGTATTGCTCCGTGCGACAGAACAAGACTCGTCGTTCGGAGGAGGATCGCCGACGACAACGGAACAAAGGTGGAGAGCTGGAAGGAAACATTTGTAGCTCCGCACGACAAAATGACCGCTCGCTGCTGCATTTGAATAGACTTCGGCCGCCGCCGCTGCCCCAATCATCGACAAGGTCCCGTCCGTCTTGCGGCCGCCGGCAAGAGGGGCCGCAACCCGGGTTTCGTCGATGCCGCGCACGGTTTACGGTGCGACAGCCAACCGGCGGAGCGATTCGCGGTCTCTGCGGCTCGCAAGCCTTCCTTTTTCCTTCCCCGACCCCGCTCCGCTGGTCAACTCGTAGAGTAGTCTACGTAGTTGTAGTAGTAGCTGCTCCAACCCAGATACGTTCCGACTAGTTTCCGCGAAGAATACTACGTGCCTCGATCGCATGGGATGCTTCGATTCCAGCCCAGTCGGTGATCGAACGAGCTGATCCTGCAAGAAACTCAATGCTCTCCGGAGAAAGGGAGGGAGAGCGAGACGGAGCTCCCCGAAGGATCTCTTTCGAACAACAACAACGATGCTGACCGTTGAAAAACTGTTGGATATCCGGACAAACAGAGCCTTCGGAAACGGGACTCCATTTACCAAGTTGGCCACTTACCCTGGCGAGCTAGGCTCTCTCCCTCCCTTTCCATCCTTCCATCCGTCAGTTCGGTAGCTCGGTGTCGCTCGCTCGAGCGAGCGTTCCTTGTTTAGTTCGCTTGCTGCTCGGATCAGAAGTTGTAAGGCAGTCGGTGCTGCTGTTGCTGCTGAGCTCGATTCTCGGTCTTCTTGAAGAAAAACGCCGGAGCCCGTAAAGCCGGCTTTCTGCTCCAGCTATAAAACCTATGGAGCTCAGTGGGAGGACGAACAAACCGAGCGGCAAGCGGTCGGTCGGATCGAACCGAGGGATACATGTTTCGGACAGAAGGGACCAGAGCAACAGCCTAAGCCATTTCGTCTCAGCGATCACGACATTGAAGACATCGCCTTATCTCACACCGAGGCGTGAGCTTGCCGTTCTGTGTACGAGCTTCAGGTCGTTGTCGCTTCGATTCCCTTGCACGTGAAGCAGCCAAACGCTTCTCGACAGTCGACAAATTCCGGAGCGACGGAACTCCGGAATGGGTCCCGATGGCGCCTTTGTGGTCGCGCGGACCCTCCGGTCCATTCTGCGCAGTACAAGAAGCGGCTCACTGCCGAGTCTTTCCTTTCCGCCAGCCAGCAATAATATCGAAGCTGGCGGACGCAGTTGGCTTTGGCCACCGAAGGGGAACATCGCTTTATGGAAATTGAACAAAACTGCTCTCGTGCATCTGACATCGAGAAGCAGCGACGGAAGAAGACGCAAGCCGTAGTAGACCAGCTGTTTTCGACAAGGGAAAACCTAAAACGAACGCTCGAGGGCGGCCGGCGAACACGGACTCTCGCTTGCTCTCGCAACCGCTTGCCTCGACTGCTCAGGAATCGGAAGTGCGCGAATGAATAGCAACGATACGATCATCATATTCGGAGCCGTTCTGAGCGCTCGCAGGAAATGAGGGACGAGGAGGACGACGCTCCGATTGTCGGAAAAAGTCCTCTCCATGTTCTAACCCCTTCGTTTCGCCATTCTTCCCGGGCAAAGACAACTATGTGTTGAGAACAATGGAAAATTAGATTCTCGGTCCGGCGAAATTCTCCCGTTCTTCCTGTCCGGAATTCATCCGTTCTTCCCGTCCGAAATTGCTTCGCTCTTTTCATGAGCTCGATTTCTCGCGGAGAAATTCTCGAGCTCTTGTCCGAAATGAAGAAGTCGCCACACACCTCGCGATCGCGTGCTAGTCCAACGATTCTCACAGAGCGGTCAAGCGGCTTTTAAAACCCCCGACGAGTTCTTATGGCAGCGACCGTAATTAGCAATCTTCGGTGTGTCTGTCGCGGCTACGAGTGGATTGGCTGTAGGTGACGTTGGCGGTATCGGTCGCGGCGCTCATGGGAAAGTAGTCGGTCAGACCCCCGGGCGGACTAACATTCAGTCAGTCAGTCGGTCCGTCCGTCGGAGACATCGCCCGCGAGCAAGGCAGGCTCGCAGCTGGCCAGATTCTGTCTGGACCTCGATGACAATAATAACTGTAGGTTCTGTATGTACTGTACGCGGATACGCGAGGATATAGATGCAGCTTCCGGCGTTCCTGCTGCTTCTGCTTTTGCGGCCGATCGCGACGGAGCGCCCCGGAGCCACGGCGGAATTAGAACGACCGCGGGCGATGCTCCGAGAGAGGTTTAGCTGCCATCTGCGTGCATAAATAACAACGTTCGGCATTGAACTCGCAAATGCCATCGGGACTGAAGCAGCTGCAAATGACGTCAGGTTATACCGGTTGTGAGGTTTTTGTTCAGCGAGAGAAGAGTAGGCGCCTGCGAGTTTGTGCCTGCGTCTACGTATAACAGATGCCACGCGAACGGATAATGATAGAGCGTGCGAATGGGAGCAGCACTCGCAATGAGCGACACGCGGAGAGTGCGCGGGTAATCGATGGGAGCCGGCGTTTGAGGGCCCTGCAGCGAGATGTATTCACGCACACGCGCATTCGAATCTCTTTTCAATAGCGCTCATTCCTCGCAACCAACGCTTCAGACCTTCATTAAAACTCCGCCCGTTCCGTCACGAACGGTCGAATCGGCCGTGGCGGCGAGAATAAGAATTCGATGAACGCATGCTCAAGCTGATGATGATCGCCGAGAGCGATGACTTCGCTCCCGGACACCGACCGGAGTGTAAAACCCCAGCAAGGAAAACCTGCGCTGAATATGGGACGCGCGCAGAAGGGCCGACGCATCGGTTGCTAGAAAGGAGTGACTCTCCATTTCGAGGGTATTCCGCGAAATTAGGCTCTAGGGGGGACCTGGGCAAAGTGAAGTCGCGTCAGTGAAAAGGATTGGGAGCAGACGGGAGTCGAGATGGCATGGCGGGCCAGGCCGGAGTGCGTTGGGTCTAGAAAACGATCTAGGAATTTCCGATGGGGGCCCATTGAGCACCGCATTTCGGAAGGGTCACTCGTTTAGTCGGTGGCTTTTCTCCGATATCTGCAGACACTCCGACTTCAGTGCCAGTCGCTCACTGGGGCTCGACGACTCTTGAATTCGGTCGAAGCCCTAACGATCCAGTCGTGCTCCGATCGGTATCTGAGTGAGAGGTTCGATGTTTTCCATCGGTGTCGCCAAACGGCACGAGTCCTTCTACATTGTTGAACAGCGAGTGAGTTCCGCCGTCGAAATCATCTGCTGTTTCCCCTCTGTCTCTTTTCCCGCGAATTCTCTCCTTCCTTCGCCGGGGTAGGATAAGTCGGATCGCTATGAACTCACTCAGACGTCTCTGAGTGGGTTCGTTTGCTCATTGCATGGCTGCTTCTTTCGGTGGTCGGCTCCTCACTCGCTCGTTTCCCCGATAGCGGTGGTGTCTACAGTTGTTCCTTCTTCCATTAGTCTACGTCACTGACCGCGTCTATATGCGGTCGGCGGCAGGATCGCTTCTTTCGTGCGTCTGTTCCTCGCCGTAATGGAAGGATTTGAGAATAAGCCGCGAGTAAACTGAAAACAAGTCACGATCCAGGGGACCCTCCGCTCCTTTTCCCATCGTCTGTGGGGAACTCGTTCTCCACGCTTTCGTGCGCCACGATATCCAAGACGCTCCGAAATACCTGATGGAATGAGTCCGGAATACCCCGACTGCTCGACCTTCCATTTCCCAACTAATGTTCCCGACGGACTCATTGTTTTTCCGCCTCGTTCCGATTTGCTTTTCCCCGGTTTCTCACCCTGCTCGCACCGGCTCCTTAGGGAAGCGCCGCGAGAGCGTGGAGTAAACGTCCTGCCTGCCTGCGGGGGAGAGAGGCCAATTTACCTGGCGAAGTGTCGTCGCCCCCTCGGGCCGAGGTTGTCCTGGGTGGAAACTCGGATCGGAATCGCGCACGCCTCGCTTCGAAGAGCCCCCGCACTTCGGCACTTAATCACGTTTCTTTTCCTTATCGATAAATTTCTCCCCGTGTTCTCTTTCGATAGAGCGGGCGCTTGTTCTTCGGCTCTCCGACGGAGGGAAGCTTTTATTTATGCGGCGACGTCGAGTATCGTATGGGGGAGGGGCGCGACGGGGAAGAAATAGAAAGAGAAGAACAAGAGAGATTCTAAATTGATGACCTCAATTTTTTTTTCAGTTCGCCGGAGACCCAAGCACCCTCTGAAGCCTTACCACGTTCCTACAGGTGTGTAGAAATCGCCCAGCTATCGAGTTTTGCACAGTATCCCGTTGCAGCAACAAAAATAGATATGTCGTTGTTCCCATAGCCGATTCCTCTGAGACCGGCGGGGTTCGTCTAGAAAAAAGACCCCGGTGGACCACCACAGAGGATTCCGAAGACCTGTCGAAAAATGCTTATTGACTCTCGGAGGTGATTTCTTGCTCGAGCTACAATCGTTTTTTCTCTTCCGAACTCATCGATAGTTCGAGCGCCTCTGGTCCCCTCGCAAGCTCTTTCCGGACCACGCACGATATTTTCTCCCGATGACGCCCTGAGGGACTGAGATCGACACTGTTCTGGTCTTCGATCGGATGGCCGGCAGATACTTGCCAGATACTTGTGCAAGCGATACTTGATGATCGATGAATCATCGACGATGATCCTCGATGGACAGCCAGTCATTTCATCGGTTCATTTTATTCATCGAGTGCTTCACATATCCCTGGAGGTTCTCAGCAGGGAGGAGCCATATCGTTGCTCTTTTATGTTTTTATTCTTGCCTGGAGGAGACGGAGGAAGAGGCGAATCACCTCGGAGAGTCTCTGCATTCATTTCTTCATTTCACCGGCGACGTCTTCGTGTTTTGTTCCCCTGACGGGACTCGCTCGAAGGCTTGCGAATTCCGAGAGTCTTTTGAGCCCGGTTCCCTACACACCGGGAATTTCACCCGAGATTATCAAGATTCTTTTTATGCATTGTGGGTAATTGCCGTTGTGTGTGTATCCGCTTGATCCCTTGTGTCAACATGGAGAATCTTTTTGAACTCCACCTGCAGAACTCACGCCCGTTTGTCCGCCCGCTCATTCGCTCGCACGATGGTCTGGTCGCTCACTGGACCGAGCAACGAAACGAACGTTCGTCCGCCTCCATCCACACTGGCTAGCGGAGTGGACTTGCCGTCGGCAGCGGGGCTCGCCCTTCGGCATTTCTCAAGCACAACATTCTTGGTCTGAAGTTTTTCTGTTCATCCGGCTACCAGGTGTGAAGGCGCGAAGCTACAGGAGCACCCCTAAGTCGAGCACCGGTTCTTAAATCCAACGCCAAGCGCCGAAGCTTCATCGGAATTCCGAGGGATTGAATTCTCTTGAAGCGTTTGTCGGGGACGGCATCGACGAACGACAAGTTTTCGGATGCCTGAAATCGCCGTCAGAAAATCAAGGAGAGCGAGATCCAGGATCGATTCGACAAAATCGCAATCTCGCGGCCCAACGGGAACGGTCCGCGAGTGGTCGATTGATCTGTCGATTCTCGATGACTCGAATGATACCCGAGAGTCGAATGATTTCTCTTCGACCACTACTCCACACGAACCAGACGTACTCGTATCCGGCAATGAAGGAATGAATGTTAGACCTTGTATGAACGATATATGTATGTACACCTCATAGACAGACACTCATACGCACAATCACAGTCCGAGACACAAGTAGATGAGAAGAAGAGGCCCAACAAAATTGCTCGTGTTTCTTCATAAAGAGAATTCGACCACAGCGATTGCTGTCTGTTAAGACCCATGGTCGACGCCTCGATGACAACCTCAGCGTGATATGGTCCCGAGCCTCCTTCAGATCGCTTTCGACTTGATTTGAGTGTGTAGGCCAATCAACGTTTCTTCTTCCTTTCGATCTGCGCTCCGCGGACTTGAATCATCATGAAAACCGATTGGGCGTCCATTCATTAATCACTGATCCGTCGAGCTTGGATTGGCCTCGCGAGCGTGAATTCGATCGTTTCATGGATTTTGTCTCGATACAAAATCGAGTGGGACGCATGGTGAAAACCGCAGGCTTACGGGGCTCCATTCAAAGCGTCGGGAGCGGGCGGCTGTCCATTCATCCTCCAGGGCACAATAATTCCAAATAAGCGTGACCTTAAACGCTGTGGCGAACAATAATTATTCATTAACGTCCCCACCTCTCGAGGAGCCGCTTTTTGAATGCTAATTAGCCTTCGACCGATAAGCTCCGGAGAGTTTCTCTCCATCCGACGGATTCGTGCTGATCGCAGTCTCGTGTCATCGAAAGTCCCAGACTTGAGTCGCGTCGAGAGAGTTCTCTTCGATTCCGTGAATGAGCACGCCGAGGTCGTCTTGCAACAACGACTTGAAACTCGAGACTTTAGGCTGAGCATCTTCCCTTTCATCGTTTCTGCCTGGCTTGAAAGCTCGAGAGTTATTAGAGAGTCTTCGTTCAGCAAGCCGTTCGAGCCGGAAGGATTCAGTCCCTCGAGCGGAAATCGGGACAAATCGGGCGTTGACAAACTTTCGTTTCCGGCGTCATGCTCCCCACGAGAGGCGCTTGCGACCGAGGTGAAGTGGAGCGGATGCGTTGTCGTATTGGACTCACTTTGGGCCTTCGACAGGTACCGAGCGGGGCTGCCTGCTCGGTAGTGATTCGGAGATTCCTCGATGGTCATATCATTCCCGAGTTGAGATTGTTTCTACAGAGACACTCCTCTCGCATCGTCGACGAATCGACGAGCAAACGAGGCGTGAAACTGTTTAGAAGTTTCGCCCGTCGCTTTTTGAGTTCCGCGCGCGAACGGTTTCCGCTCGGAGATCGATCATGCCTATCAACACGCTCAGACGCCCATGGGCCGTGGATCTCGCTCCTTCAGCGAGTCAGGTAGCGGGCGCGCATCAATCGCTGCTGATCTTCGGGGCAGCTCCGTCCAATATTTAGACAGGTATTCACGATCGCCGAGAGGCTGCGCATGAATTTCTCGATCGATCCCAGCAATTCCCATATCGAAAGTGTCCTTCGGAACACTCCTGTAATGATGGCATAAATTGGGATATCCCTCTGAATCCTGGCCGATAAAGAGAATGGGGTAATGAGGAACAAGTGGTTTCCGAGTCTGCGACTGTCAGATGGGCGGGGATATCGATCGGGGATCAATTTTTTCCCTCGGTCTTCCCGAGACTCCGGCTCCGATCGGAGTGAGGAATTGAGGCTCATCACTAAGAGGTTCGCTTTATTTCAGCCACCGCACTCCGTTTTTTTTTCAATGTCACGAAAGCAGACCCTCGCGAGGAGCTTCTCCAAGCGCAATTCCACATATACAAACTGAAGCCCAAGGGACGGAAGTTCAGAGGACTCCTGGAGGTTCGAGCGTATCAAGTCCTGCCGGGTTCAACACCGAACACGGAGGAAGGCAACCGTCTGCTCGACGTTCGGAGAGTCTCCTACGACAGCCTCGGCTGGGAGGTACGCATCGATCAATGAACTAACTCACTTTGTGTACCGCAAGCCATACGAGCCTCTCACGTTCGGTCGTTCGTCTGCGAGTGACTGACCGATCGCCAGGCAGCCGGCGAGCCAGCCAGCCAGCTAGCTAGCCGAGGAGCCAGTCCAGTCGGCGTCCCCGCTCGGCGGCCAGGCTCCACCATTGAGGTGAGAACTCTGGATTTGATCGGTCAGTCCGTCGGTCGCCCGGGTTTTACGCTTCGGCCCGGAGATGGGTTCTATGGCTGGGGTGCTGCGAGTGGCGAAATCATATGCTTGCGGGAGCTTTCATGAGTCGCGAGGAAGAACGTCACGCAGACGCGCAGAGATATTTCGGGTGGCGTAACAAGTGGTTTTCGCCGCCGCTCATTGCGTGCTGGGGGTTCGCGACATTCAACACCAAACAGGGACTTTGTCGACGAGATTGCTGGTCGACAATCGCCTCGAGCCACATGCTCATTTGAGCCATCGTTTTGAAACATTATTCAGCAATTTTCAGAATCTCCCAAATAGTGTCCGAAAAGACTCCCCTGTCGATATCTATTTTCCTAGAGGACCCCTCGCTTCGACGTCGACCCCGTAGGCAACACCTGCCGTAGGTATCTCTCGAGGGAAGAAGCCGTGACGCCGTCATGATTCGTGGTCACACAGGGTTCGATGTGACGGATTTTCCGGAAATTCTCGGGAAATTCGGGGTTTGAACTCGGGAGTGTCTCGCAGAACTCGCGCTGACTCGATGGAGCAATGCCGCTGAAGTTTCCGGAGCAGCGAACACTTCCCGTCGCCGTCTACGAAAGAATATATTCCGCGAGCTGGGAAAAACTCGCATCTAGAATAAAATCACGGAGGGGAAATGCAATGGATTCCCGTTTATTTTCCTCGCGAAATTCTGATAAATAGAACATGATCGACTCCAGAGGAGATTTATATTTGGCTGTGTAAACAATGATAAGAGCTTCAAGGGTCATTGTCGTCGTCTGATAGCGTTGCGAGGCTCCAGACATAGAGCTCGGGAGCAGATGACGTAGCGCGCGGAGAAAACTTCGAACACAGAGCCTACGACAAAAAATGCGCTGTCACGAGGATTTCATCGCTTCCAAATATGAGAGTTTTGTTTATTGGATTGCCTCTCTCCAGAGAGGCGTCGCGAGACTTGGCGACTCCATCTCTTGCTCGTATCCGAAAAAAAGTCGGCTCCGAGCTTTTTCCCCTACGTCTAGTCCTATTCCCGCCGATGTCTATCCGAATGGAAGTCCTGAGCGGCTTGCGCGGGGCTACACGGAAGGCTAACCCTGGATCGGAGACATGGTGGAATTCCTCAGAGGTCGGTCGTCTATCAGCTTTGAGGTTGTCACCGTCGTCCTTCCTGTTCTTTTCTTCTCATACTCAATGGCATTGCCGCATTGACCGAGCTCTCCGGGGAAAAATTACGAAACTCTGACAAGAGGAGGTCGGACGCAGGAAATATCCAGCATCCGAGAGGGAATTTTCCTTGCGCCTGAAATCGCTGCCGTCATCGGTGTGGAAGCATGTCGACGGTCTTTTTCCGGGAAGATTTAATCCGTGTCGGGGATTATGGTCGCGATTAATCGGAGAGGATCCAACCGTGACGAGGCTCGTCGAGTGTGGGACCGGCTGCGATTGTAATGAGCTATATTAAGCTCACACCGGAGCGACCTTCTCCCTAATCAGAATCCCGAATCCCCACTCCGGGGTCTGCTCCCCCCGTCGGAGTGGTGAAGCAGCGTCGCGGCAGAGAACAATGAGGGAAAACGTTGAATTTGGAAGCTCTGCGAGGGAAGAATTGTGCACGTGGATTGGAACAGATGTTTTTGAGTGCCGAGACGCCGCGGGGAATGTGTCCTGGTCGTCTGTCTTTCGCACGATCGCGACCTGAAGATGTTCGGGTCGCGTTCCGCGTAGAGATCTCGGGCAAACTGTGGCTCATGGGTCCCGATTGAATCCTTCCTGTTCCCGATTCCCGGGACCGCAGCACTGCGCTAGTCTTTCCTCATACATAGCCTCCGTGTGCGGCTGCTTCAAAATCCGACTAAATCCACGTTTCCCCGTGGGATTATGCTATTCTGGGCGGAATCTCGGTGTGAATCGAGACAGCCCCATTCCTCGAGACGTCCGCTGGGATTGAGACAATTTCATCGAGGATAGATTCCAAAACCTGCCCTCGGTCGATCGTCGGCGGGATGAGGCTCGAAGTTTTGTCGCAAGCCCGTCCATCTGACCAGTCATTCTAGCCGAGATCGAACGAACGAACGAACGAACGAACGAACGAACGAGCGGGTCGACCGATGGGCCACACGGCGAATGTGTCGCCGGAATAAATCGAGTTTGATGTCGCCGTCGCCACCGTTGCTGTCCTCAGTAGTAGAGTGGCTTTGATCAAGAAGCGCTCAGAGAACAGGAAAAGCCCTCAGGGGAATTGTGCGAAGCAACACGGGAGAGACTGGTATCGAACTCTTTTGTGTGTGGCCACCGTCAGCTTTGAACAAGCACTTTGGTAGAAAGTAGCGGCTTTCCCCATTGAGGTCTACCGAGAAGCACTGCTCACCCCTCCGTCCCAACTTGTTCTATCCGCCCCTGTCTGTCTCCGACGCGTGATAGGAGGGAATTCCCAGCTGGGGGTTTGCCTCTGACCAGCCCAGCAGCAGATCGCAGATGCCGTTTGTGCAACCTTTTGCTCAAGTTCTCCCCTCTCCCCGATGTTTCTGCGATCTCTTTTCTCTCTTCTCGGCACGAACGGCAGGAAGTTTCGGCACCTTCGTCGGAGACCGACCACAAACAGCCTCCAGTTGCGCTCCATTGGTCTCAGATTTTTCCTGGGAGCGATGGAGCACAGACACACAGGTCTGATGGTAGGAGAAATCTGCAAGAGTTCCCTACGCTGGCACTTGCACTGGTCTCCGGGTGAAACTCCCGGGAGAGAGTTAGAACTTGGGAGTTTAGGGGGAAGTGGGCTCTTCTCCCAATCACTCGACTCAGCCGCCTGCATCACCGAGTGTTCCTCCAAACTGTCATCGATGTCAGCCGGGGAAAATTTCCACATTAATTCTGGTGATAGAAAGGGTCTGTCAGATGGCCAAAATGAAAGATCGAAAAAAGCTTGACAGCGGAAGGACGCCGCTTATTTTTCTCGCCAACCAGCCGCTGAAGTCTCCAGCACAGTTTTTCCCGACAGGAGTCGCAGACTCCTCCGCTGTACGTGGGAGCTTTCCGCATCCCAGGAAGCCGCCAACTCATTCTTTACGGCTATCGTAGATGCTGGGTGGGGAACGGTCGAGCGAAATAGCTAAGCGAAAGGGTCGTTTTCTCTCCGTGCAGGTATTCTACGTTAAACCGGCTGTGGAGGACTGGCTTAAGGACGAAGCACTCAATCTCGGGATGTTCTTGACGGTGCGGACGCAGAAGGGACGTCGGCTCCCTGACCAACAATTTCGCTTCGCTCGGAAGCAGATCGGCCAGTCGGGTCCCAATAACGCATCTAAGCAACCTGTTTTAGTCGTATTCAGCAACGACGGACGACCTCCGCAAACCAACACAACATATCCCCCCGGTGAGTTATTTTTCTCTCTTTTTTTTGCTGAGTCAAGTATCCTACGAATCGAGGTACGAGGAGACGTTTTTGAGACGCACGAAGAGTCAACGGTTTTTTCGGATCACGAGCCGAGCTTATCGAGAGAGCTCTCTCCTCACCTTGCTCTTTGGAACTTCTTTCCCACTCCTTCGGAATCTTTCCGACATATGTAGGTATATTTCCCCACCTCGAACAAGTAAACCGAGAATCATTCGTATTAAGTACTTGAGTGGTGTAGTTAGGAGGCTATTTGCTTGTTATCGCGAGTGCCAGAGTAAATCCTCTCAGCGTAAGGCGGCCGATGAAAGCAGGGGTCCGGGGACGCTCGACGGCGACGCGGAGTATCACGTGGGACGGGTCTGACAACGGTAATCCCTACTAAGCCTTTAATGACCCACTTCTTGATTCTCCAGGTGACTCGTCCTCGGCGAGCGACAGAACGAAAAGATCTCTTCCTTCAAGCGCTTCCGGCGCGCAATACGAAGTCTTCAATGCGAACCATTCCCACGACGAAACGCTGTCATGCGCCCGATACGATTTGTACGTGGACTTCCAGAAGATCGGCTGGTCGTCCTGGATCATATCTCCTGAAGGATATCAAGCCTATCACTGCAAGGGAGCGTGTTCGTTTCCATTAGGTCAGAACCAGTGGCCAACGAATCATGCCACGGTACAGAGCATCGTTAACGAGTTGAGTTTGACGCCCGGCGTCGGGAAACCATGCTGCGTTCCTAACAAGTTGTACTCCATCAGTCTGTTGTACTACGACGACAACGAAAACGTCATCTTGAAACAGTACGATGACATGGTGGCCGCCAGCTGCGGGTGCCACTGATAGGTTTCCGGAGTGTTAGCTATAAGAGAAACGAACAGAGTAAGAGAAACGGTCTGATCGTGAGTTGGAGCACCGGAAAAAATATAAAAGCCGCTTTCTGACGTATCATTCAGTAGACGAACCCCGTCCGGTTCGGAGGCTCTTATTGATTTGGAGTAGTTGTTTAAATATTCTATTATCTGCGCCCAAACCCGGCGCGACAGCCAACCACTATTAAGTAATTATTGTCACGATCGATGTCACGATAACAATGAAGAATAAAATTAATGTAACATACTTGAGTCCATGCCGTTTTCACTCGAGGGACCGACGGGTGACGAGGCTTCCGTTTCGAGAGCATTCTTCCTCTGCCCTTCTATCTGTGGGGAATGAGGAGTATTGACCAAGCCAGGCGATTACCGTATTTTAGCATCTCCTTGTTCGACATGCCACGGCCGGCTGAGAGAGATATCGCTATGAACAGGAGCCATTCAGAATGCCTGGGGATATGAGTATCCCCCTCGGGATCGAGAGCCTTCGCCGAAATCTGCGACTCTTCTCAGGATTTTTGCAGGTCATTCCGCATAAGTCTGAGACCCAACCCATGTGTTGCTGGGAGATCTCAAGTGAAAACTATGCAATATTCGGAGCGTCATTGAATGCGTACTAGACTTGCTCGGCGCATACGGGACACGCGACCTTGCGTTTCCTTCTCTGCGTTTCGATGCGAAAAGAGGATACGGTATGGATGAGTGTTCAGATATGCATGAATGAACTGCTCATCCAGCCGAGCGTCTCAAATTCGTGACGCAAATTCTGCCCTCGAGAGAACTTCCCGGAGATGAGGGATCGTGTCGAGTGCTCCGGGGATTTCATCTTAAGAATAGCACGTCTCGCGTAGAGCTCGGATGCGAATGTTTCAAGGCATTCCGACAAGAAGGGAGCAATTTTGGGCCTCCAATCGGAAACGAAAGAATAATACATCGATAAAGATATCGGTGAAGTCCGAGCGATTTCTGGCCACGGAGAGGCTCTCGCACGACCACGACTTTCAAGAAATTCTCCTGACGAGAATCCTGGCGTCCCATGAGGAACTCCGGTGTTATTCCCTACATTCTCCAGCGCTTGTGGGTATAAGCAGGAAATATGCGTGCCGCCGTGACGATGAGCAGTCGTGCCGCGGCTCATCGCATGGGCTCAGGTTTCTCCGAGTGAGCGAGCAGGCCATCGTAAGGAGAGAGTTTCCAAAGCTTAGTTGTTATGGATGCTGCGAAACTTTCCTAACTACTTGCCAGGATGTTCCGACGATGCAGCGGAATGTTCTCTTCGGCAACTAAATTGATGATATGATGATAATAGTCGAGTATCGTCACCAGAAGTCGTCGCGTTGGAAGACCGTAGGATTTCGGGCGGGTGCGCCCCCCGGAGCGAAACGGTCGATTGTCTGTGATGCCTACCAACGAGCTTGCTCGCCCCAGCTTTATCTTTCCCTCATCACGTTCCTTTTGAAAACGGCGCAATATATGTGGAGAAAAACTACCTCTGCCTTCCCTCGACTCTCGCCCTATTCGTTTCTTCGGAATTACTCAGCGGGAGCGCGAATCGTTCCCAATGGACTTCGCTGCCAGGCCAGACTCGTCCACGTTCCCTCTCGGCTCACTCGACATATTCAATGGTGATTCGACGCACCAGCATACGGCGCTTTGTCCAAGGTAATCCGCGGCCCTAAAACTTACGACCTTGGTACGGCAGCCAATGGGAAGATTTAGGGAATCAAAGATAAAAGTACAAGAATGCCACCCCAGTCCGGAGCCCCGTCAACGGGGAGATTTGAGGTTTTATTTACCGACACCCATCGTTTATCAAGGACCGGAAAAGACCAACGGCGTATGAAATGTCGTTCATCACGGGAGATGTTTGGGATCCTTCTCCGAACTCCTACAGCCCCGAGAGCGAGACTTGAGATCTCAGTCGATCCATGAGGGGACCTCTCCAGAGACGCTATTGAGAGTTCCCTGCTCGATTCGTTCCTGCCCATAGTCCTCCTCCAAAGCGAAACCTCCAGCCGACATCGTCGTGATAAATCCGAGCGGGATGATGAAGTTCCATCATCAAGTTAAGCTTGCTGATCCGAGGACACTCGTACAGTGGAAGCGCTAGTATAAGGTCCCTCGTTGAAATGCGCTCGAAGAGCAGCACGTTTCTCCAGATTATTGATCCGGTTCGCGTCTTCGACCAGAGCTGCGATAACGCCGAACTTCGCGTCCATCTGTTCTTTGTTGGCACTGGGATCTCGATGGAGAATCCTGCATGGGAAAGTCTTTAATACCTCTGCAGGTGAATGCGGTCGAGCTGAGCGGCTCTTCTCGAGACTCTCCCGCATCTGAGACCAGATATGTCCCCAAATTCAACCCACCATTCAAAGAATCCTGCACATTCTTCGAGTAGAGCATCTCGACCCCAAGAAAGCAGAGCGATATTCCGGAGAGCAGAGAGCGCCAGGAGTTCAACCTCCGGACATGGAGACTTCGCGCAGTTCCACAGGGCGTGTAAGGGCTTCTCGCTCGCCATCGAGAACCACGAGTGGGTCACTGACATCAGGTCTTCTTGCTCGACGTCCTAGAAAACAAATGTCCGGGCTCGCTAAGGACATCTCCGTTTCGACACTCTCTGCGGAGTTCGAACGAAAACAATCGAGCGGTCGCAAGGTTCTTACCTCGACCTCCATCAGATGAGCTAGTGCACTCAGAGCGGCCTCTTTTTTGTGGGTCTGCTCAGGCTTGACGAGCGTGCTCCCGATCGATTTCATGAGTACCATCATCTCCGAGCGGAGAGTCCTGTTCAGGCAGCGTTTACCTTCGTGAGTTCTCCCGATCAGACCTAAATTGCTCACGGCCAGTGATTGCAAGTCGGGATCGTTCGTGAGGTCGAGCATGATTTTCAGGATGTCCACGTATTCATCGCACATGAGCTTTGGATTATTTTCACCGAATCGACCGAAAAATTCGCAAACACCTGAAAAATGTTCCTAAAGAGATTGAAGTCTCGGGAGATCGGAAGCCCTTCGGATATACTTCGTCCTATATCGAATCACTTCGGCGCAACGCATTTCCATGAATCTTATTACCAGGCATCGTGTGCGCGCTTGTCCTGCTGTTCGTATCCAAGAGGAGTGCCTCCAGATGCGCGATGACGCCCGAATCGACGACGAATTTCACAGTATTCTTATTCGAAACAAGAACCGTCAGAAGCTCGATGTAGTTAAGTTGCACGAGCACATCCCTGTGTTCCTCTTTGAACGAAGTAATCACTTGGGAGATTTGAGGGGCCGATCTGTTGGCAGTTTCTTCCGAATGGATTGCTATTCGGCAATAGACCTCCAGGGAAAATAAATGTTATGCTCCGTACCCCTATGGGGCTTCGATCCGGATGATGCCTTGTTTGTACCGTAGCGGCGCATTTTTCGGCGGATATTTTCAAACACCCACCTCGAACACGCGCAGTCTGCAGATCGAGTCTTTCCCTTGTACTGCCGAGAATCTCTTTGCGAGCTCACCGGTGAAGAGTGTTTTGTGAGCGCTGGGATTTTCACAAGCTACTCGAACCAAAATGTCCATAGCCAATGACGAGTCCACAGCGCTGTCGATACGATCGATGATCAGACCCAAGAGCTCCTCGTTGTTGGCGAGTTCCGCGCACGCCTTCAGAGGAGAAAATCGTTTTCGGGATTCGGGCCCGTACCATCTCTCAATACTTCTCAATAATTGGACTTGGCTAGAGAAAAGTCCAAGGTTCACGACAAGGAGACGGTCCGAGATAAAACGCGAGGAGTACCTTGCTATCTTTTGAGATCCGTTGCAACTGCTCCAGAGTCACACTGAGACTTTGTTGCGCGAAGCCGTCTCCGAGTGCCTCAGCGAGAGTCCTCCAATACTTGCTGTACACCAAATGGGGTGACATTGCGCCAAAAAGAATTTTGAATGTTTCGCAAATCGCGACCACATCTTGTATCCTGTCGAGATAAAGAGAAGTCAGTTGAGCATTTCAGCGAGGAGATCTAGGAGCAATACTGTGGGGCGCATGATCGTCACAGAGGGGGCGAAGGTTCATAAAACGGTGAATTCGGAATAACCTCAACTTACGTTGCAAGACGTCTGAGGGCCGCCAGAAAGGGCGAAAGATCTTTTGATGGCAGGAGCGCAGCGATTTCTGTTCTGTGTAGGGCAGTGAGCCCTGCAACTCTTCCCAGATAATACTTCAGGGTACTCTCAGTGATGACGATATTGGGATCGCAGAGTTCATCGAGAACCTGATTCGGATCAGGATGCAACATCTTGTTCGGGAACGTGTAAGTCAGCGGAATTTCAAACTTTTCTAAGTTCTGGGCAAGCCGAGTTCACATCGGCTCGACAGTCGCTTCGTCGTGACTAGGCAGAAAAACTCCCGATAATGTAACTTCGAACTTCGAGCCCTCACAGCTGATGATGATTGCTGAGATCCGGTCATCAACATTCGCAAACAGCTCACCGCTCTCCTCATCTTTCTTCTCCCTCGCCTGCTGTTCGATACACAGAGTGACATGTGCACTACGGCGCCAACTTCGAATCGACCAAATGACCACCAAGCTCTTATTTCCTCGAACGGCTCGATCTCCCGCGTTCTATCGCAGCGGAGAGTTTCGAGCCTCGCCATCGGAGTGGAAATCTTGGGAGTCATACGGCGGATTTCTGTTCGTGGAGCCCACGTACTATCGAGCTTGGCAAGCCAAGTTGAGCGGGCTCCCTATTTCACGCTCAGTCATCGTCTGCTCGTCGCGCTGAGGAGTGCCTAAATTCGGCCGACCGCTCGACGGCGCCCTTCTCGCATTCCATTACAGCTCTTATAAATGAGGAGGGGAGCCGGAATGTCGGCGTTACCGGACGGGACTTCGAGCAGCGATCGGTGAGGAATCTTGTACCCGCTCCCATAATCTCAGGGAGGCAAGCGCCAGACATACCTCTCCTCCCTCCCTCTTGCTCTCGGGAAGACTCCGGGAGACCTATTGTCAGTCTTCTAACTAGTACTCCTTCGAACGTAGAATGCCTGAATTCCGTCGGAAGGTCGCTGAGGCGAATATTTCGAGAGCACGACACTCATTTGACGCCTCTCGTACTACTACGCCTACAGCGGGTGGAAACTTCATCCTAAACACGAGTCGATTTCCACACGATCGATGACCATTCCCCTAGTTCCCGCAACATTGGCGAGCACTTGGCTTGCCTCCAGGGGTAGCAAGCTTATTGATTCGATGGGAAAGGCTAGTTCTCTGAACTCTCGAAAGCGGGATTGGGGGCTCAGGAGCTCAATGATGATATCCGGAGTGACATTCCGAAGGAGGGATTCGCCTCGGGGATCTATCGTCCACTCGCAGGACTCAGAATCGAAAAGAGCTGCGGAAAGTCGCCATCTGACATCAGAAGAGTCCTCCAGGAGTCTGCCCCGAACATGCAGGCTATCGCCAGGCTCAGCATTTCAATATACAGCCTTAGTCGAACCGGACAATGACTGTCATGGACGATGGCGGTACCAAGAGAGAGGAACCGCCCTGGCCTGCCCGAGGTATCAGCAGAGATCATCGACATCACGATATCGACTCTCTCGTCGTCAGATTCCATTTCTGTGAGACTTCACCCCTCTCATTCTCCTCGACGGTATTTTCCTGCATATCCGCGCGTGAGGAATCGTTCGTTGACCTCAGCAGCCCGTACGAAACTTCGCCGTCAGGGGAAACCAGTCGGCTTCCATGTCCGGCGCTGAACGAGAGGCGAGAGCAGCAGAGGAGGTGGTACAGCGTTGTCGTCGTCGTCAGTGTTGACGTCGTTGTTGTCCTCGTCTTCCTCGCCACTTCGATTGTGCTCTCGTATAGACGGCCACGGAGCTCGGTGCAATCGGTATGCCATCATGGCAATCATGTGTCTGACCCAGCTGCATCAGTTGTGAACGCCGACCATCCCCTCGGCCATCGATATGGTTCGAGCCCTGGAAAAATCAGCGGCTCTTGCCGCACTACTCTCCGTCGCGTTGGCGATGGAGACATCGGATCGTCTTAGACTGAGGTAGGTTTCTTCCACCGGAAAACGCGATTCTTCGACTCCAGGAAGATGGACGAAAGATGCGGGACATGGGAGTTTCCGGACAAGTTAGGCAGTCTCCTCGATGTCCAGAAGCGAGAAGTGTCTTGAACTCCACGCGAAATGCAAAGACGTCTTGACGCTCGGCGTTGCGCTTTGGACTCTCGAATCAGAGTGAAATCTGCGAGAATCTTTCGCCTCTGAGGGCCTGGCAGGTGAGCATGTCAGGTTCGGGGTCAGAAGTTGGCCACTGAGCAGATCAATCCATGTGCTCATCCAGGGCGCCGTGCCAAGCAGTGCGGAAGAAGTTGCTTCCGGGAAAGTTGTGAAATATCGGGCGAAGACCAGCCGAGCTCCTGCAGTCTTGGAGATATCGATCGGAGCTCTTTCCGTGCGTACGACGAATGGATGTGGATGAACCTTTTTCTGAATCCGCCGTGTTCCTTCCAGAGACCAAGTCAAAGAGATGTTTTTCCACGGATACGACTCGTACATGGTGAGTGCTCTTCAGATAATTTTTTCCGGGCTGCTTTCCGATACATGGGGAGGATCCCTGACAGAGTTTGTCGCCACGTCCTCGCGAGATTAATGGCATAGAAGCGATAGACACAAATGGTGATCGGATCATGTGACGGATGTAGGATGGTCCACTCAGGATGCGTAGACTCTTCTCTTTCGTAATCGAGGGGTCGCCCCGTGGAGCTCACCCGTTCCTAAATAAGTCATTGTCCTGTCTCCTTCCAGGATTTCGCGTATCCGGCGGATGAGCTCATGCCATTGAGCTGTAAAGGTCGCTACAGGGGCATCGAAGAAGACAGAGGGGACATAGATGACGCCATGGGGAAGTGAGTGAACTTTGCTCGAAGCCCGCGGGGAAAATTATTTGTAGGACTTCGTGCTAGAATGGAGAGATGCCCTAATACTTCCTGGTTCTGTGTGGTGGTTCCCTGCGATTCGCCGAAAACTTTGATGGGTCGCCCTGTTCCCTCTCGAATCTAATACTTCATATTTCTTGTAGTTTCTCATTGACCCTTGTTGACTCGGCGGACACACTCATGATCATGGGGGAGTTCGCAGAATTTGAGAGAGCTGTAAAGCTGATCATAGACAATGTGCGCCTGGACAATGACGTAACTGTTTCGGTCTTCGAAACCAACATCCGGATGTTAGGGTAAGTGTCTTCGGATTTACTCGTGCCTAATCTAATCTAATTTTATGATATCGAGGGACTCGATTCGCTCGGAGTCTCCGAAGAGAATTTCGCCTCATGTCCCTTGGTTGACGCTTTGGAAGCGCCGTATCGATGGGGACGGCTCAATCTTCTTGTCGATTTCTGCCGGAAGGAATCGGAGACGATAGCCGCTCGAATTATCGAAACACTTACGCTTTTCGTTGCTTCGAACTCGATGAAAAATAAACATTAAAAACGGCGACGATGGCTGGTGTAAGAATGTTCATCAGAAAGATAGAGTCAACAGATATTTTCGACCGGATACGAATTCATGTATTTTCGCGTCTGGGAGAGCCGCTAGTCATCGGGAGTACCAGACCTTACCGAGTCTATTGTGCGAGCGGCTGACGTGGGAAGTCCCCACGTGATGACGATCGCGGCGGCTTCATTTCTCTATCGCCGACGAACTCGATAGAATAGGTAGAGAATTTGATTCCGAGACGTCGTCGCTGCGCTTCACAAGCATCGTGAAGTGTATCACGAGGAATTTCAAATTTCAGAGGACTTCTGAGCAACCACATTCTGTCGAGATACCTCAAAGAGTCACTCGGCAAGATGACTTGGTACAAAGATGAGCTGTTGCTGCTGGCCAAAGAGCTCGGCCTGCGGCTCCTTCCGTCATTCAACTCGACCACAGGTGAGGAAAATTTGCGAAATCGCCACTACGATCACCCAGCTCTGAAATCATCGCACGCCCTTCGAACATGCCCCTTCTTCGTGACGTTTCCTCGCCATGGGCTCGTACGGCTCGGAGGCCTGAAGGTTCTTTTGTTTGACTGTCCGCCTTCGCAGGAATTCCGCATCCCCGGATAAATCTCCGTTGGGGTATGAAGTCCGATTCGGTCCCCAAGACGACAGAAACATGCACGGCCTGCGCCGGAACGATGCTCCTCGAGTTCGCAGCGCTGTCCAGGCTGTCTGGAGAACCGATCTTTGAAGCGAAGGCTCGGAAAGCGATGGACTACCTCTGGCTGCAGAGACACAGGTGAAAGATTTTCGCAGCAGAAGGCGTGCCGTGATTCTTCGGGAGAAATGAGTTCAAACTCATGCGAAATTCGCATTCCAGGTCGTCCGATCTAGTCGGAACTGTGATAAACGTTAACAGCGGCGATTGGATCCGGCGAGACTCGGGCGTGGGCGCCGGAATAGATTCGTACTACGAGTACTGTTTGAAGGCTTACATATTGTTGGGGGACGGGACGTACCTCGACAGATTCAACAAGCATTACGCAGCTGTGATGAAATATATTTCACAAGGTCCAATGCTGGTCGATGTTCACATGCACCGACCGAATACGAACTCGAAAAACTTCATGGACGCTCTGCTTGCGTTCTGGCCGGGTCTTCAGGTCCTGAAAGGCGACATCAAGCCGGCAATCGAAACCCATGAGATGCTTTATCAAGTGATGCAGAGGCACAATTTCCTGCCGGAGGCGTTCACTACTGATTTTCAAGTGCATTGGGGTCAGCACCCTCTCAGACCCGAGTTCATCGAGAGTACATATTTTCTTTACAAAGTAAGGAAGCGGCATGATTCGTCGATATTCATTATCACACGTGTTTTTTTCTCGCCTACTATATTCCGCGTCGAAGGAGATATCGCTAAGTGGAACATTCGATTATTCAGGCAACGAACGATCCATACTATCTGGAAGTTGGGCGAAAAGTCGTCGAGTCGTTGGAAAAATATGCGCGGGTACCTTGTGGCTTTGCGGCAGTGAAAGACGTTCGAACGAATTCGAAAGATGACCGTATGGATTCCTTCGTTTTGGCGGAGACTTTCAAGTATCTCTACCTTCTCTTCGCCGATAAGGCCGATGTTCCCTTGGACATCGATCAGTTCGTCTTCACGACAGGTACGTCCGAAAGCCAGCGGGTGCAGTGGAATTCCTATCGTTGTACATGGCTACGGAATCGGGATCGCTTCCCGTCGGTGGCCGAGCGTTTCGATTCTCGCTATAGTCTGACGCTCGAAATCTTCCAGAGGCCCATCTGCTCCCCCTGATCCTTTCCCGTAAAGGCCAGCCGGAGAACATCACAGTCACCAGTCGTACGCGCGGGGGCGACGGCGACGAGTGCCCGAATTCGGATTACTTCCGGAACGCCGACAAAGTTCGTCTACCTCTGAAGAATCTAGTCGAAGGCACATGCCCCTCTCAGCCCGTCAAGTACGTGGTCACTTTGTTTCCAACAGAAATTCACAGTATTCGGTTCAATCGGTACCGTTGTTTCGTTTATTTGTTGATCATTCTGCTTCTGCGAAATTCGTTGCTCCTGATCAGTTAGCGTCTGTGATCATAGCGACAGCGGCCGCATCGAATGCGTCGGCGGCTGAAGCACATGTTACCTAAGTTCGAAGACTCACGCACAAAGTCGCTGAATTTCGATGGAGAGCAGTCGATTGTAAAGTGTTCTATTTCGGTCTCTCCTGGGATGTCTCCTCGTATTAATAAGGGCCACTTTTGGGAAGTACGGAGTTTTATCGGCGGGTGTTGGATTGTGATCCGCATGCCATCCTAGTTTCATCCGGAAGAGGGCGATCTAGGTCATGAAGCCAAGAATAAAGTTAGCGAGTTTTTTTCTTTTCGGCGCCATACCTCCCAATATGAGCTCGACTCCAATTCGATAGAGAATACGGGAGGGCGGTGTGGCAAGGAATTTCGTGTAAGAGATGATTGATTCACGTCCATCTTAATCCTAGTCGAGTCAGAGACGATGCGCAGCTCTACGTCTAGTTTTTGCGTTGCTTGTGCGAAATTCAATAAACGCTCTCAGAAATTAGGTGGACTCTTTATTTGCCTATTTTGTGCTTCTGCGACCTGATTCCGTGCTCGATCTACCTTTGTACTTCCGCTCACCCTGTGGTGTGACACTTCCGTGTCCATTTTTTCCGTTGCTTCGTCCACAGAGATACGTTTTTTTTCTCGCTGGAGACGACGGGAGTTCATTACGGCGATGAGTGTCGGATGGATCCCTCCCGCACCGCATCGATGCTTCTCCTTAGAACCGACTCACAACAATGAGACCGTGCTCGTAGCAATCTTGCCGCTATGCACTTTTCCTGCTTGGGGATTCCCATGTTCTTCCTTAAAAAAACGAGATGTCGTTTTGTCTTCCAGAAAACGTCGGCTGCTTGCCGCCCAATTCGATGTTGCGAATGCTCAACACATCGAGCTCATTCGGCAGATGGGAGTTCTCGTCGCTGTTCTGGGAGATGGTCGTATGCAACTGGTTCACAACGCAGCTCAGGCCCATACACCACAGGACGCTCAGGAGGGTCTTCTCTTCATGCAGGTGAGACATTCATGTGTTATGGAAATTCCGTCCGGTAGACACGAAAGCAGGCGTCTGTCTCGCAATTCCTTGCGAATTAACTTGGGTCGCCGGAACTGTGAATGTGTACCCTCGACGATAATTTCAATTATTATTATAGTTATTATTGTGCATAATGAGCATCCGAATTCGGGTGGACTTGATTCAACGGATTCTCTTCCCTAGGAAATGATCCAGTTGGCCAAGAACCAAAACCGACAAGAACAGGAGCTACGATCCGTGCAGTTCATGGTGAACAACAAACTGGTGGTGGCACCTGCTGGCCCCGCGCAATTCGGGCCTGACCTCGGAGATATCTCTAATCAGGTATTGACGTCTCGATAGAGACAGACAGATTCGAACCTTTCCCCATGGAAAAGCCAATCAGGGTACAACCAATCCGGCATGGTGCTCTATAATGAACACTCATTGGGCGAGCTCTTCCTTCCGCAGGTGTCCGGGGAAGCGGAATGGGTTGACTCGGTGAAAGCATGCTCGCCGCCTACGAATTGCCAAAAGCTCCGCGGGAAAGTTGCCATAATGGAAAGAGGCGATTGCATGTTCATAGAGAAGGCCCGTAACGTCGAACAGTGCGGTGCGATCGGAGGAATCGTTCTGGACACGGTGAAGGATTCTTCCGCGCGATCAGCTTCGATTTTCGCCATGTCTGGGGACGGTGGGCAGAACGACCCAAAGGTGCCGCTCGTGTTCCTGTTCTCGCTTGACGCGAAACCTCTCTTGGAGGCACTCGAGAGCAATCCCAATGTCCAGGTAAGTTTGTTCATGGAATTCATCCAATTGATTTCAGTCCCGCGTCGGCTCTTTTGTAGGCGTCGCGGGTGGCTCGTTTAGGGTTTTCGGTTGAGCTCAACTTTATTTTCGAACAGATCACGCTCGCGGACGCGACGCCCGTGGGACCTCTGCTCGGCTCCGAGGGTGGCATACAGGGCACCCTCCTCACAGAATCCGCTCGGAGCACTTCGTCGGAACGGAGTTTAGAACGAGATCTCAATAAACTGCTGCTCGAGATTCACGAACTACAAGCGAGCCAATACAAAATAACGAACCGCGAACGGGAGAAGCGATTCAAGAAATTGCTCATGAACGTCCTCTCCGAAGTGAGGAGCCAGAAGAAGGACCTCAAATCCGCGCTCGCGGCCCTCAGCGTTTTCCGAATGGACGATGAGGTCGATATATGCGATGAACGGAGATGTCCGAACCCTGATTGGAGCGCTTCAGCATTTGTTGACCACATGAGCCGTCGAAGTTGTTACAAGTGTCCGGTGGAATCGCGCGGGTTGTAGAAAAATCTAGTTGGTATTTTGTTTATTCTGTACATAAAAATAGCGGTACGGTGTGATTGAGCGTGATCGCGTCGGTTCGACGCACGGGGAAGCACAAAAATAGCATAGACCGTGAGCTCCGCAAGACGACGAATGGATAATCATGGGCGTCGGCGATGATTTAAGACAGCAAGGGATCCGGAGGCTCTGAGCAATTATTGATTGGATTGGTGGGATGGAGATGAGATGACGACATCGAGCGTTGTCGATGAGAGATGAGCGTCTCAGGAAAAATCGGAATAAACGACGGTGTTTTCACAAATAATTCCACATTTATTTCCATTTTATTATCGATCATCTATTGTACAGGTCGATCATCTTCCGGAACTTTCTGATACTTTATACAACGACCAGTGCGATAGCGAGTTATTTACAATGCAGAGGATTGAATCTTTCCGGGGGGTCCTCCGTTCACGGCCCTTCCTCCGTGGCTGTTTCGTCCTCCTTGAATATTTTTATCGTCTTGTCGGCTTCACATGTTACCAATCTGCTGCCGGAGACATCGAAAGCCATTTGGAAAATTCCCGCTTCGCTGTCGATCGAGCCGGGCTGAACGGGTGTCGTCAGTTTCTGGAAGTTGTATCCTGACTTCCAGTCCCAAAACTGCATCGAGCCGTTATCACCGCCGGACACCAAAACATTGCTGTGGTTCACGGCGAGACAGTTCACTATCGTATTGTGTCCCGTGAGGTTCTGGATGAACTTGCCGTCGGGGCACATCCACTGCTTGATATTGTCCGGAGCACCCGAGGCGAACATGTTCAGTTTTGGATGCAGGGCGAGAGCTCTCACTGATTTCTTGTGATAGGTCAACGTCACTCGAGTTTTCCCCGCCACTATGTCCCAGAGTCGGATCGTAGAGTCGTGGCTCCCACTTATGATTTGAGGTTCGGTCGCTTGAACCAGAACACTGGCCACGGTGTTCGTGTGGCCAGTGAGCGTGTGGATGCAGGATTTCGAACGCATGTCCCACACGCGCGCCGTCGAGTCCCGACCGCCGGTGACGATAACGTTATCGATTGTAGGATGCAAGCCGATGGTGTAGACCCCCGAGAGATGACCGTGGTAGTGACGGATCACTTTGTTTTGTTCGAGATCCCAACATTTCACCTGTTTATCTTCCCCACAGCTGAACAAGTATGGATGATGTTGACTGACTGCGAGACCACGAACTCCCGCGATGTGCCCCGTGAGCGACAGCTTCAGCTTTCCTGACGCGAGGTCCCAGATTTTGATTATTCGGTCGTTTGAGCCGGTGCAGAACCATTCGTTGCTAGGATCGAACGCAACGCAACGGACCCAACCATTGTGACCGGAAATAACCCGGCAGAGTTTCCATTGGGGATGCCATTGGGGTTTAGGTTGCGACGGTTTCTTCAGAGGAGCACGAGCTTGGACTTGGTTGTTGCTTGGAGCCAACACCAACGCCTGGGAGTTATTGTTCTTGCCTGACGCGTCAGTTTTCGGAGCTGGCACTCTGCGCTGATTCTGATTCACGAGATGCATCACCCGTCCGTATTCGTCTCGGGCTTTGACGTCCATCCGGAGCTTGTGCGCTTTCTCATCGATTGGCGGTAGGGCCCCCTCGTCGCAAAGAAACATGTCATGACTACGTTTCAATGACCGAAACACCATTGTATGCACAGAGTGCTTTTGCACGTCCGTCATGATGCCGGCTACACCGAGTCGCCGTGCCTCAAGATTCGGACTACTCCTGGCCACAAGGTAGGCTCCAAGATGGCGGCTGACGCACTTTTCGGCGGTCGAGCAGACGATGCAGGGGGGCGCGCTGCTTGAATTCCCGAGAGAACGACTCGGAACGGAATGCTCCACCTCACGTCCCAGCCGGAATAGTGGATCAGAGAGATCTGACTCGGCTCGATAGACTCTGAGTCCGATTTCGAGGGCTTCTGGAAAAGATCGGGAGCGGATTCCGCGGCATTCTCCGAGAGTAAACCGCTCTCGACTTCGGATTCGCATGCATGATCCTTCGACGGAGGATAGGACGCAGGATATCGATCATTCGCTGCATTTACTAGGAAGCTACTTGCTTTCCGGTAGAAGACTGAAACTCCTGGTGAGCTTCAAGCTAGATGGGCAATCGTGCCCACTCAGCAGAACAGCAGCGCAACAGCCAGACAGAAGGGTCCATCGATCCACCGAATCGATTATACGTCTCGACTGATGGTCCGGGCCACGGACCTTATAGACTTCCTTCTCCGAGCCATCTCATCGGGCCTTGATTTCACTGCATCCCTCTTCGAACTTTGCCAGATAGCTCACCGTGGCGCTTATCCGAGAAATCCACGGAGGGGAAAACGAATTCGCCCCTCTCTGCCTGACTGCCTGGACTTACGATTTCCGCCCACAGATACGGCCGTCGTTGAGGCAGGCTTGATGCGATCGAAGGGACAGACGTCCTGCGCGAGTTTGCGGTGAGCTTACATTATCGAGACCTCCCTCGGTACATTCGCCAGAGCAATGATGAAGATTCATCCATGTTCTGAATCTTCGATCCGGGCGCGATGTCCGTCAAACGGGTCAAACGATTCTCCTCATCGAGCACCTACGGGAGCAGCACTCCCCCAGTACCTGGCGGCTAGCTGGCGTCCCAGTCTGAACAAAATCAGCAGTGCGGTTAATATGGAAACATCATAAGGGGTCAAGAACGGGTCGAAATTCTTCTTTTCGAGAGAGAATTCTAGATCGAGGTCCTTTTCCACCTTCATCTTCAGCTTTGGCTCATTCGAAATTCTCCTCAGTACGCTGACATCCTCGCACATCGCCTCTAAGGTCTTGTAGGAATCCATCAGCTGTTTCGCGACTCCGGAATCCTCCTTTCCAGCATTATTCCGGATGGAGTCGATGAGAAACATTCACGCCTCAAGTATTCACTCCTCAAATCCATTCTGAGAGTCTTACAGCTGACCGGACAAGCTCCGGCCCTCCTCAAGGATCCAAGGGATGTCGCCGAAGATTCATCGTCCCCCTTGTCGCATCGCAATAGCGGTATCATGAACAAAAGCATTCCAAGCGAGCCTGGAAAAAGCTGAAATCGTCGGGTTGGTGCAGAACTTCCCGGACAAACGGGCATAGTCTCGACGACAGCTTTGACTGCCCAATAGTCGACCTACTCCACATCGAAACGATGCGCAGATTCCGCATTGTGCATTGCACCAGTAGATAACCGTCTGAGCTTCAGAACATTGCATCCTCCGCTGACCGAACAGGGATACCCAGAAAAGAGTGGAACAAGCTCAGTTGTCAGGAGCTCCTTCCGCGAAAGAAGTTCGAGCGCGCAGTTTTCAAATGATCTTATGTAACTTGAGCTTCCCGCGCGACCGTTTTCCACGGTCAGCTCCCCCCTTCAGTTTTCGTATGGAGCGATCAGGGGCCTGCCGCAGCCTCCTTGCAGGCTTCCAGCGGCAGGGGCGGCGCGCTAAGGATGTGACTGATACGACTTCGGCAACATCGATATTTTAGTCGCGCACACCCCCGGATTCCGTCGGGGGTATCCGCCGATGGGCATCGCTTCGGTCATGGGCAAAAACCGCGTGCCGATTGTACAGCATGACGTCAAGAACACTCTCGAGATGGCTAGCTGGAGATCCCTGGGAACCTCCGCGGTCTACGATATCATCGACGATTCAAAAAAGACCGATCACGAAAGGAGGAAGTACCATGAACAATTTGAGGGAAGGCCAGTCTCTAATAGACGGGTAGTCTCCGATAAAGGGGCTCCTCTGAAGATAGGAATTCAGGTAGCCTATATGCGGAGACCGCGGATCCCCCGTCGTGTGAGCGTCGAGTACGCTCGCGGTACTCATCCGAATAAATCCGTATCCTATACCAGCGTCACTGACCAAACTCGATTCTCGGGTAGTGGATGGGAGCGGAATACGAGCAATTTCCAATTGACGCGTAGTCCTGAGCATGGGCGGGCTTCGATCGGTCGGGAAATGGACGGGCATAGCCCCCGATTAGAATGTTCACGGTATAGGCCCAGAGTTGCCAACATGGGGAGGGGCCACGGGGGCGCGTCGTCGTTTGGGGCGTAGTGATTGCCCCTCAAGGAGTCGACTTGACCCCAGCAAAAAAAACGAGCGCGCCCCTGTATAGGCCTTGGGATTCGTAGTCCAAGCCCGATTACGCGAGTAACACCTCGCTGTAGCTCGCCCGTGTCGCTTCATGTGTATGTGAAGCAGTTGCGCGAGGAGGTGACAGCCGGTGGCCGCGGGCGCCCTGTTCAGAGTTCAGGGAGAACGCAGAATCTAGATTTGGCCAAGCATGAATCTGACTGGCCGGGTCGGAAATGATAACCTGAGAGCTTGACCCGGAGCATCCTGCAGTCATTCTTCGAGGCCGATCCTGCGGTCACAGTGCTGAATCGTGAAGATGGGCCGAGATTCGAGAGGAGAAGAACTGCTTCCTGGGAGAGGGCGCGCCTTTCATCAGATGTGGTAGCTGCCTCCCTCCTCAGGATTTCACGACCGACAAACGCCGCGAAGGGAGCCACGGAATACCACTCACGACGGCCGTCGCACTTTCACACTGCAGACCACGTTTCTCTCGATGCGCTGACGAACTGAGACTCCCCGAACTATTCAAAGTGAAGAAACAGAAGCACCAGCGGGCTTCTACGGGAGAGTGAACCTCGAGGTCGGAAGCAGCGCAAATTGAGAGGTGATGGAAAAACGCTCTTTCATGAGCCCGGAACACCGAGCTCCCATTTTCGTGAGCTCCCTATGGCTGTATCTCGTGAGAGAAGGGAAGTCGAGACGGACATCGAGGGAGGGTAAATCGGTCGCGAGCTCATAAATCTCGACGTCGAAGATCATGCATCTTCTCGATGAGGTATCCGTCAACCGCGAAGTCTCCGCGGGAATCACGGAGGAGGCGCGCGCGGAACATGTCATTGGATCGACAACGCATTAAGTAGAAACCTCGGAAATGTTTTCGCCGACCGATTGTGTTTGATCTCAATCGGGACAGGGTCTTGGAGCGTGTGATAGAGAGGCGACTACTCGCCGCATTCACGTAATCTGGATAGCTTCAGAAAGAAGCTGCAGTGGGGAGAGCCCTTGGAAAAATATTCCCATTGACTCCGACCCAATTTGACAAAACTAGCAAGCTCAAGCATGAGTCGTACAACCCAGAGCTAGGTATACGAGTGAAACCGGAATGGGCTCTTCGAAAGTCGACGTGAAACAAACGCATGACGGCATCTTTAGCAGAGGAATACATATTGACCAAGCATATATTTTTCTTTCTCGATCAGATGATCTCCCCGTCGCGGGTCGCGGTAGGTTCAGCGCTCAAGATGTGTGTTGCCAACCCCTAGTATAGAGATGTGTGTGATAGTGAGGTGTCACTCGGCGCTCGGGACATGCGCTTTATGGGAGCGGGCTAGATCCCGTGTGTCATAGTCCAGTTCAGGGTCGAGGCAGTCCCCCTGAGCCTGGGTCAGTCCACGGCGCGTATCACATCTGGTCATTTCCTTGTCAGATTCTTCTCCGAATCGCGGTGCCGATAGCTACCTGTTCTATGGGCCAGAAGGGAGCCAGGGAGCCAGGGGAGCCTGTAATAGTGGGAGCCCACCCCCGTGAAGATATGAGGCGGGGCTTCAATCTCACTTGACAGAAAAATACTTCGTCGAACTCTTGTCATCACGGACCTTCGGCCGCGGTCATCTGTCAAAGTACCACGGCTGCAGATCGGCGATTCCATCAAGCACTACGAAAAACGGATGCTTGCTCCGATTATCGATTAGATAGGCCCCGGAACGGGAATATTTGTCTGCAAGGCGGACCTATAAGAATTTCCCCCTACCGGACGCCGGAGAAGGGAGCGATGACAAGCTGCGAGGCTATGCAACTCGAGCACGTTTTTATCCCCATCCGTCGCATCGAATCAAAGCAAAGTGGACCTGAGGAACCAAGTCTTAAAAACACGCCTCGACCTCTTTTTCGCCTCTGTACATACATATGTATGTCCGGACATGTCCGAGGCACTCATCTTGTAGAACTCCGAGGAGAGCACGGCTGGACGCATGATTCCGGTAGGGATCCGGGCATCGCGGAAGAGAGCCTCGATTCTCAGGTGGGTTCCGCGAGCCTGTCGTAATATTTGTCTGAGGGGTTGATGTCCCGTGAGAAGCTATCCCTCCTTATACAGTACTCGTCTCCCGTCTCGGGCGGAAACCCGTACCTCGTGATCTATTGGATGCACGATCATCACTTAGATAAATTAGGTGTCGTGCAGTGATTTGTGAGGTCGGTAGCTTCCAATTCACTCGCAGCGCTACGTTCGCTCCGGCGCAGCATGACGGCCACGCCCAAAACGTCAACGGTACTTTTCTAGATGTACTCATATAATTGTGGATTTTCCTGTTGTTGTTTTTCCTGGGAGGGAAAATCCTCGCATCCCCCATTCGCTCGTCCTGCAGTCTTCTTAAAAAGAGAAAAAAATGCGCTCCTCCACCTCCTCCCCTCCAAGCCTTCCTCCTAAAGGCTCACCAGGTCTGAACGACGACACCGGATTTTATTGGGTCGACTTCTCGGCACTGACCGGGGAGAAAAAAGTTTAATCCTCCTTAAGAGCCTAATTCGTCTCCGAGCTTCTTCCTGAACCCCGTGAGAATGGGGAAGAGCCCTTCAAGAACGACGCCCCTCGGCTCCGGAGGAAGGCAAATCACCATCGAGGAAGTGTTCGCGATG